AGAAAAGCTGGAATGAAAGTTACACAGGAGGAGGAATGCAGGGGCTGGTTATCAAGCTTCAGAGAGTTAAAAAGAGTTAAGAAAGTGGAACAAGGATGTGTTTGGGAATATCTTTGATGATATTAGTTTTGTGGAGCAGGAAGTCACCAAAGCAGAGGAGGAATATTTAAATTCTCCCACTGAGGCAAATAGGGAGGATTGGCAATTCAAAAAGGCTCTTTTACTAAAAAAGTACAAACTAGAGAGAAAGTTCTGGAAGCAAAAAGCGCATATTAACTGGCTCAAAGAAGGGGACTGCAATTCTCATTTTTTTCACTCTTTTGTGAAAATAAGAAGGAGGAAACAGATGATTACTTCAATTAAGGATTCAGAGGGGACTGTGGTATCAAGTTTACCTGAAATTGGAGTCGCTGATGTTGATTTTTACTCCAAGCTTTATGCTATTGAACCTGTCACAACAAATAATGAGATTTTAGGGAGTATTCCAGGAATTATTAATCAAGAAGAGAATGCAATGCTCACTGAAATGCCAACTGAGGACGAGGTAAAAGCTGCTATTTGGGATCTTAATCAGAATGGGGCTCCAGGCCCAGATGGTTTCACAGGAAAATTCTTTAAAAAGTGTTGGGCCATTGTGGGTAAAGATGTGGTTAATGATGTACAAGAATTCTTCCTGGGTATACCTCCTCCTAGAGGTTTTTAAAGCTCTTTGATTGTCCTTATACCCAAAAATGACATGGTATCTTCCTTCACTGACTACAGGCCCATTTGTCTCTCTAACTTTACTAATAAGATTTGTACTAAAGTCTTGGCTTCTAGATTAGTAAAGGTGCTCCCAAAAATTATTTCTGAAGAACAGGCAGGCTTTGTTCAAGGAAGAGATATTTCTGAACAAATTCTTATGGCCCAAGAAATGGTTCATGCTATTGATAAGAAGGTGAGGGGTTGTAATGTTATTATTAAGTTAGATATGGCCAAAGCGTTTGACAAACTTTCCTGGAAATATCTTTTTGAGGTTCTTGGCAGATTTGGTTTTTCTAACAAATTCATTACTCTTATTAGTAATAATCTTCAGTCCAACTATCTTTCTATTCTCATAAATGGCAGTCCCCATGGCTACTTTCAACCTAAGAGGGGTGTTAAACAGGGTGATCCTCTATCACCCTTTCTCTTTATTATTGCCTCTGAAGGTTTTTCAAGAAGCCTTAAAATTAGATTGCAGCAAGGAGAGATTAAACCATTCTGGATGGGGAAACATGGCTATCCAGTAAGCCATCTTGGTTTTGCAGATGACTTATTGATTTTTATAAATGGTGAAGCTAGATCTTTGGTGAATTTTAAGAAATTTGTTGATGATTACCAAGCTGCATCCGGACAGACCGTTAATTTAAGTAAGAGCAGCTTTATTACAGGAAAACAAGCTACTTACAGAGGTGCTACTATTCATAGAATTCTGGGAATGAACAAATCCTGTCTGCCAATGAAATATCTTGGAGCCAACCTGCATAAGGGAGTGAATAGATATCAATACTGCTCTCATATCATTCAAAGTTGTGATAAAAAGCTTTCATCTTGGAAGCAGAAGCATCTTACACAAGGAGGCAACTTAATTTTGATCAAATATGTGCTTAGTACTATCCCTAACCACACATTTGCTACTGATATTCTGCCTAAAAGAGTTATTTCAACTCTGGAAAAAAAGATGGCTCATTTCTTTTGGGGTTCTACAGTTGATAGGAAAAAATTTCATTGGAGAAAATGGTCTAAAATTTGTTTCCCAACTGAGGAAGGTGGTCTAGGAGTTAGAGCCTTAGCTGATATTCAAAAAGCTTTCAGTCTGAAGCTTTGGTGGAAGTGGAGGAGTCAAGATTCTTTATGGACTCATTTTATTAAAGCAATTTACTCCCGAGGATCTGATATGAAGCCTAAAACTACTGATTCTTTTATATGGAGAAGATTATGTAGTATCCATGACACTGCTTCTGACCTTTGCTCAGTCAACTCAGATGGCAGGGTACAATGGGATCCTGGCATTAATGGGTCTTTCTCTTTAGCCTCTGCATATAATGAAATAAGAAGTATTAGATCTGCAACTTTCACTGATAGACATATATGGAATAAATTTCAGCATATGCAAATCAAGATTTTTACATGGAAGATGCTGAATTTGTATTTGCCCACTCCAGACAATCTTCAGAGATTTCATTTTATTCTCCAACCATCTAGGTGTCCATTCTGCAGAACTCAGAGTGAATCTACAGACCACATTTTCCTAGGATGCACTTATTCGAAGTTAGTTTGGCAGCAATTCTTGTGTATGTTTAATATATCTACACCTATTTACTCATCCATCAGACAGATGATGGTTCAATGGTGGATTGAAGCAGGTTCAAAATCTATGGCAAATATTTTTAAGCACAACCTCCCCGGAATTATATGTTGGCATATTTGGAAGATTTACGTTGCTTACACATGGGGGTCTAAATCTATTCCTGAACCAGAACATCTAATTACTCAGATAAAGATTTATACTCAGAATTGGAGTTATAAATTGGCTAAAATCAAGCGCAGGAAGGTGGAAAGTTTTCTTATACACGAACGTCTTCTTCTATATAATTTTAAGTTCCAATCTACAGGTCTTCAGATTATCAGATGGAAGAGACCTAATCAAAGCTACAAATTAAATGTGGATGCATCGTTTATACCTGATAGAGCTTCTGGCGGAGCGATCCTTAGAAATAGGATGGGAAGGATGGTCTGGGCAGCATCCTTTCACTTGTCGGTTGGGTCCAGTGAAGAGGCAGAGCTCCAAGCGTTGATGAAAGCCACTGAAATGGTGTTGGAGGATGGTTTCACTGATGTGCTAGTGGAAACCGATGCCTCACGTTCGTTGGATATCCTCAGGGACGATTTTGGCAACCGAGCTGATGTTCGGACTTTCAGGCAGAAGACGATTAGGAAAGGTATAAACTATGGACTTGTTTTCAGGGAAGGAAACGGTGTGGCCCATGCTCTAGCGGATCTAAAGCTGTCACAAGCCCAAGTTGTATTATTTGATCAAGTTCGACAATTGCCCAAAGAGGTAAAGAGGAATTACTTTGCCGATCTGTTTAATTTCCCCTGTATCCGTTTTTAATCCATGTTCTGTTATTTTGGGTTAGGCCTTGCCCCCCCAAAATTTCTTTTACTTTTATCTTACAGTAGCAACAATAATAAGTACAAAAAAAAACTATAGGGGATCGTCACTAATAGTGGTTCTAGTTGCTGTCTAGGGCGGTAACTAACAACGACATTGGTTTCATGATCATTAACAACAACAGTGCTATCATGGTTAGTAATGGCGGCGAAGGCGTGAGGGCGGGGTGGTGATGTGAGTGTTGCAAAATTGATCATGGCAGCGCAACGGTAGTTGGGGCGATTGGGCGGCGTTGGAATTGTTTAATACTCAATTATAATAAATTTAAAAACAAATAATAAATGTAATATTAAATAAATAACATCAAAGGTATGGTTAGTTAATCTTTGGAAACTCAATATAAGTCATATTTTTGTCTTTTGTATTAATTTTAGTAACATTCATTTAAAGGACATAATAGTACAAGGAGATTAGATTTGGTTTTGACTCGAAATAAAATAGAGAATTACGCTAAAGATTTAGAATTTCACCCTTCAAAAAATAGATATTGATTTAGTTTTATCAATTAGGTTTTCAATTATCTCAAACATGGATAAGAGTGTTTTTGGTAGGACTAGTTTCAGTTCAAAATTAGACTTAAAAGAGCATATCAAACTAGATCATATTTTGATTGTTGTAAAATACACATACAACAAATATTTATAAAAAAAGGATGACACCACATCCTTGAGAGCCCCGCAAAAACTGGTCGAACAACTATATGGAAGAATGTAAATTGAGCTTTGATCTCACCCTAATGAAAAGAGAGTGATGTTTCATCCCAAGTTATTGATTGAAGTTAAACTCGACACACCTCCCTTGTGGCACACACCCTTTCTACTAGGTGATCTTAGTTGGTTGTGGAGGTACCATTCTAGAGGAGAGGTCTCGTGTTCGATTCTCACTATGCGCAGTGGAACTAAGCCTCCCCAAAAAACCCCTTCAAGTGTTAGGGTCAAACAGTGTATACTAACCCGTAGGGTCAAACCAAAGTTGGATTTTCTGGGGTAAGGGGTTGCGAAGCGGCGAGCCTAGTCACTATACAAAGTTTACCCATACATTAGTCTTACAATAGATATTTATCAGACTAGAATAAGGGTGTTTTTAATTGAATTGTTTTTTTTATCGGGTCTGTTCTGATTTGATCTGTTTTAGCCCGGTTGGTTGTGATTTGGTCTGAATTGTTCTAATAAATGTTTGGTATTTGTGTATTTTATAAAGAATATTACCCGAAATAGGACTAAAAAGGTTTGAAAATTCCAAAATAGGACTAATTACTGTCATGTTTTGGCATCACCAGACTTCAAACATGGTAGTATTTTTCAAACTTGACAGTAAATACTCTTAGTTTGGGAATAAAAACATGACAGTCCTATTTTAGAATTTTCAAATTGTTTTAGTTCTATTTCGGGAATTTTCAAATTGTTTTAATTAAAGTCTAATTAAAAAGATCCAGCTTTGGTTAAACCAATATATTTGTCTTCCGCCAATGGGATTCATCAAGAGTTTAAGGGAGTGTTTGCAACTGCTTAAAAAAAAGCACTTCTCAGCTTTTGGCTTTAAAAAGCACTTATTTACCAAACACTACCAATTTTTACTTTTTCTCGGCTTGCGTGTGAAAAGTGCTTTTCCCTTTTCTATTACACAAAAAGCACTTATTTTACCAAACACTACCAACTTTTACTTTTCAAAATCACTTTTTTCTCAAACACTATCAACTTTTACTACCAATCACTTTTTCATTACTTCTCCAAAAGTGCTTTTTTTTAAGCAGAAGCAGTTGCAAACACTCCCTAAGCCTGTGATCCGGCTGGTGATACCTACTTTAAATCCTAACCGTCCTTGTCACAAGAAAACACACATTCCGTCCATTTCCTAACCGCAAGATTCAGGTTTTGAGAAACACACGGATAGGGAATCTGGACCGTCCAGTTCTATCAACCGATGCATTCCTCAATCTTATAAATCTCCTTCGATCTGTTAACAGATGAAACTTTCGCATTTGTCCGTCTCTATCTTATAGGCCTGTTCTTCGTATCCTTCCGAGGTTTGTTCAAATCCTAGTGGCATCTTGCTTTACAATACGAATATTATTCTCATCCTGAACTTGATCTCATATGTATGGGCTTGACCTTTAAATAGAGCAATTACTGATGTGAATTTGCGGTTTTGTCCGAGCAATTATACGATTAGGGTTTCTCGTCGCATCTCCAAAATTTCTATGCTCCCAGTTCATTAGTATTTGCTTCTATCACAGTATTTTCTTTCAAATAACCGTACACTAAACCATTTTAAATCTCATCGAAAATCGATTGGTGAATTCTCTCTCATTGAGCAGGAAGAAGAATTTTTGTCTAAACTTTTGGTTTTAGGACATGGTTCCATGAACTTTTTTCGAATACGGATTATTGATCTATCTCTTATCTAATGTTTGATGTCACATTCTTGATATGGATGCGCAGATGGCTCGTACGAAACAAACTGCTCGTAAGTCAACTGGAGGAAAGGCTCCAAGGAAGCAACTTGCAACCAAGGTCTCTCTCTTCTAAACAATTTTTCATTTTCAATTTTGTGTTTGCTTATTTTATTGAAACTTATATCGTAGCGTATGATGGGTTGATATCTGCAGGCTGCCAGGAAGTCTGCACCAACAACAGGCGGAGTGAAGAAACCCCACAGATATCGCCCTGGTACTGTTGCACTTCGGTGAGTGAATGCACTGCCCTGATTGTAATCTATCTGTTTTCAACTTTGCCACTTATACCCATTGCTCATCGGTACTCTTATTCTTACCCTGTGAGAGACCTTTTTGTCTGTGAGGCTACTCTTATACTCAGAATTTTCCATCTGTTTTTATCTTGTTATCATTATCCACTATTACTAAACTAAAATTTTGTAAACTGATAGTGAAATCCGAAAGTACCAGAAGAGTACTGAACTCCTGATCAGGAAGCTTCCTTTCCAGAGGCTTGTCAGGGAGATTGCCCAAGATTTCAAGGTAGCGCAAAACATCAAAACTGTCTTTTTGCTAGATATAATGTGTATTGGAATCTATTAATCCTCATCAGCGTTAGTTGCTTGTTCTGGTTGTCGTATTTTGTATGGAAGGAAATCTTATCATTGTTTGGTTATAGTTTTAGCAGTCCCTTGTTTTTGAAAGTTTCATGTTTTCAGGAAATAATAAACCTTTGTCTGGTTATAGTTTTAGCAGTCCCTTGTTTTGGAAAGTTTCATGTTTTCAGGAAATAATAAACCTTTGTCGTAAGAGTAGAGGGTAGTTTTGAGTTCTTCTTTGAATGTTTTTGAATTTAAGAGGATTAGATTAATTAGTCAAGTTTTTGTTTTAGAGAATGTATTTGACACAACTTTTTTTTTACTTTTGGACGAATTCACTGCACATTTTAGTCTGATAAAATACATAACATCTCTTACTTGTGAAATCGCCCACCAAACAAGGAATAATGCTCTGTTCTCTCTTTTGGGTTATGCAGACTGATCTACGTTTCCAAAGTCATGCGGTCCTTGCCCTCCAGGAGGCTGCAGAGGCGTACCTGGTAGGTCTGTTTGAGGACACTAACCTGTGTGCCATTCATGCCAAGCGTGTGACCATAATGCCCAAGGACATCCAGCTTGCTAGGAGGATTAGGGGTGAACGTGCTTAAACAATGATCTTTATCTCTATGCTGTATTAACTGTTGTCTGTCTCTTCTATTCTAGATTTTAGTAGCTGCTGAAGCTTTTAGTAGCTTTGCTGTATGCCCAGCTGTTATGCTTCGGCGGTGTGTTGATGCAAAAGATTATTTTGTGAACTATAATGTGTAATGTTTTTTGTCACACCCCTGGTGTTGAACAACTTTTAATGTTGCTCAGTGATTATGTTATTTAGTTTGTGACGGTCGACAACTTGAGAACACATTAGCATATGGTTTTGCTTAGGCATGGACTGGGCCGGGCTCTGGGCTTGTCCCTGGGCTTCTTCATTTTTTTGCTTTTCTAATTAACCCCGACCCTCCCCACCCCCACCCCCAAACCCCCCCACCCCTGAACCCCCCCCCCCCCAACACCCCGCCCAACCTGGGAAAAACAAAATGAATTGGAAAAACAAAAAACAAAAAAAAAAGGCCTGAACCGGCCCCGGTTGGGCCAGTTCCTATTTTGGTTGACCCGATTGCCTTGTGTAACCCCTGGGCTGGGGCTACTTGGACCGGTGTCTGGCCGGGCCACCGGGCCGGGCCGGACCGGTTCCAAACAGTGCCGGGCCATGGGCTGTTCGGCCCCGGAACCGGTCCACCAATAGTTGTGCTCTGCCATTATTTCTAATAAAATGAGTGGGTTACATAACCTTAATTTGTTTCACGCTGCAAAAGTATGGGTGGACTCGGTTCAGGCCGGGCCCGGTTCGGACCTTGAACCGGCCGGGCCTCGGTTCACCAAATGGAGGGCCCGGACCCGAACCGGTGGCTCCCGGTTCCGGGCCAGACCGGGCTGGTTCCGGGCTGGGCCACCCGGGTCATAATTTTTTTTTTGCTTCTCTTATTTAACCCCCTATCCGTCCCCCTCAACCCCAAACCACCCCAAACCACCTCAAATGGCCCAAAATACCTAATTCAACCCAAAACTAAAAAAAAATTCAAAAAAAAAAAAAATTCCGGCCCGCACCGGGCCCGTACCGGCCGGGCCGGTTCACCAAATGCAGGGCCCGGGATAGTTCGACCCGAACTGCCGTTGGACCGGGCCGGGCCGGTTGCTACAGTGGCCGGGCCGGGCGGCCCAAGTCCATCCCTATGCAAAAGCATTGGTTTAGTGGAGGTTAAGGAGAGGCTCAAATATAGGAGCCATAACCATGCACTTAAAAGCTTGGGTTCATTGGTGGAAAATAGTTTTGTTTCATGAAGCACTTTCAAACAAAAGCTAATAGCTTGTACTGAATTGTATTACGGTGTAGTATTTAAAAGGTATGTAGACTATACTCCAATTTTGGCCAACATTGAAATTTATGATTCATTTTTTTTATTTCATTAGTATTAACTACGGAGTATTAGTTTTTGCTTAACCGCACCCAAATTAGGTTGTTAGATTTGCGTTTTGTCAAACTGAATGGTTTGATTTAAAACACAAAAATCATAAATTGAATTGAACATTGAGCAATTTGTAATATACTGGTATAATATACTAGTATTATACCGTACACCCGGATGTACAGTTCTCACTTGTACATCCGGGTATTTTTGTAATTGTTTCTAATTTGCAGTGCTATAGTTCTCACTTGTATTTTCCGGCCGCATCAGTAACGTATTACTTCTCCTGCGCTGAATCCGCTGGTCGTGAGTAGGCTGGTCCAGTTGCTATTGAATTGTTCAATTCGTTTCTTCTTTCTTTGTTTGTATTCCTCCTTTCATTTTTGTTTTGTTTTGTTTTTTTAGCAACCTTCTACTTTAATGTTATATTCAATTAAATATTTTCTTTCTCCAATCAAACTTCCAACTTAAGTTTTTTTATATATGTATTATAAAATACGTAGTATTTTAGATATTACTAGGTAAAATTTATTTTCCTATTTTTAATTTAAGATGAATATTTATTAGTATGTAGTTTATTAAATATTGTGTGTTAATCACTAACACGAGTTCTGTAAAATGAGTAAAACATCATAAAAAGAACTTGATTCTATTTGTAATTTGAGAACGAAAGACTATAAATTATTTTAATATAGATTACTATATTTGTCATTATATATATGCACAAATGAACATTTGAACACATTAAATAATTCAAACGAGCTTTTGAATTTTTCGATACTCATTTTATAAGTTACATATGTTTATTTGATATTGATTTTATGACATTTTTCGATAAAATGTCATACTAATTCACATTTCAAAAGTATCATATTAGATTCGCATAAGAGTTATATTATATGAATGAGAGCAAAGGTCACAATGGTTAGGTTTCTAATACTCAACAATATAAGTTGAATGCTCATTAAAAGTGTTTTAATGCTCACAATAAGTCTGATGCACATTAAAATTTAAATAATACTCATTTAACAGAAACCACGATTTTCATACCAATAGCGGAGGTTTGATGCTCAAATAAAATGTTGTGATATTCAATTAACAAACCTTACAATTTTCATATCAATGTGCAATTTGTAAGTTTTGTATGCTCATTTTGTACTGATGTTATGCTCATTTTTAAAATGTCATGTCAATGCATATTTCAAAAATATCATATTACATTAGTCTCGCATATTGAAATTAATAGGGTGAATTATAGATACAATTTAATAAGTTTTTATAAAAGAAAAAATAAGAAAAAGAAAAAGAATTAGAAGATATGAAGCAGAGATCATGAAACTCATTGTTAGTCTCTTAATACTCAATAAAATAGATCAGATACTCATTTTTTATATATATATTACAATGTCCATTCTGTTAAAACTGGTTGAGCTTTATTGTTAAGAAAGTTTTATTCTAAGTTATTTGTGATGAATATATTACATGTGTGAGTTATAGAAATGAGTTTTTTGTTATACATATATAAGCGTAACTTTCAAAGAAATGAATACTAGTATATCATTATAAAATGAGTTCAAAATAATGAGTTTTATGGTATACGCAAATGAGTATAATATTAACACGGAATGTACATCGATATAACGTTTTAAGATAAAAATTATTACCATTGACTATTCAATTAAGATGTTTTGATGTTCAATAGGTTTTGAAAATTTTATGCTCAATTGAAGAGTTCCATTGTTCAATAAAGGAGACTTGATGCTCAATTGAAGAGTTCCATTGTTCAATAAAGGAGACTTGATGCTCAATGAAAATGTCTTGTTGCATATTTCAAAAGTTTAAAATTAAAATAGATTTGTGTATTGGAATCCATAGGAGTTTATACGTAGTAAATTGTTAATAATGAATCGATTATATGTGCATGTCATTGAAATGAACTTTATGTTAAACTCAAACGGATATAATGCTTAAAAGAAATGAGCATACACAAATGAATATTTGAGCACATTAGAGATTTTAACGAGTTTTTGAATTTTGGAATGCTCATTTTGTAAGTTATGTAATTGATTCGGTACTGATGTTATGTTCATTTTAAAATGTCATATCAATAACGACGAAACTCACGCGATTAGATTGGAGCTTGCTCACATAATTTTAATGCTCAAAAATAGAAAACACAATACTCAATAAAGATGTCTTGATACTCAAATGTGCTTTTGATTTTTTTTTTATTTAATTGAAAAGTTCCAATGCTCAATACACATAGTCTCTATGTTCAATAGTCGACAATATACAGATATCAGGATGATCAATATTAAATTTCTAATAGATCCAGTGCTCAACAAAAAACAAACCATGCTTAGTTGGAGCTGCCGATGCACCGACAACGGAAAGATCAAGATTAGAGTTGACGCCATGGGATCTACAACTCCTCCTAATGGCCTCCATCCGAAAGGGATCCTCTTCCCCAAACCCGCCCCTCAACAACAACAAACCCTCTTCATCCACTCCTCATCATTAATTCATCACCTTAAAACATCGCTTTCCATCCCCTCAGTTTCTTTTCTCATCTTGCCGGCCGTTTTGCTATGGACGAAGAGGATGAGAAGAATAACTCCTCATCTGCAATAATTCAGTTGTCCAGTTCGTAGAAGCCAAGGCCCTAGCAGACCGTGAGCAGCGAAAGGCGTGATCCCGTATGAATTAGACCTAAAGATGAAACAATTTACAAAAAAACCTGGTTGTATATATACACCCGGGTGTATAGTATAGGGACTCTGCGATGCACGGGACAAAAGTAATTTTTGTAATTTATTTGTAATACTCACATAAAAAATTATTTTTATATATATATATATATTAAAATATCGTAAGATTTATTCTAATAACTTTGAATTACACGTATGATATGATAAATAGAGACACTAATAAGCTGTTATATAAAAAATCATTACGGATTAGAATTCAAAAGAAATTGCATGTTTTTAAAATCAATAGAATACTAATAAATTTTAATTGTGTGCCGTATTATGATTAATCCTAATCAAATGACTATAACTCCGTCTTTTTATAATATTAATATTTTCACTCAATTCATTAATATTCTTTTTATCTTGTTTTATTTTTTAGAAGAGTATATGAATACCGTTAAAAAAAGAGTATATGAATATTAATTTTTATTTGGTCTCGATATACTCCTCCGCACTTGTGATCCGGAACATAATATTCTTCGGCCCATTTACCGCCCTGGCTCGATTGAGCCCAAACCTAGGTCTCTAACTACTCCGTATATAAATATATACACGCACACTGTAGCTCACTCTCACTGTTGGAATTCTTCTAGATCAGTCTGGCTTTCTCACACGCACGCTCCTTCTCAAGCCTGGATGATGCCTAGTGTGTTAAAATGCATTTTTGTCAACTATGCCAAAAACTTATGGCAAATATGTGCATCTGTGCCCATAGGAGTTATTAGTCAATCTCTCTTGTTAACGTTCAACCTAAAGTTTACATTTAAGCCAGTTTTGTGGTACCTTGTATGATACTACGTAGTATTATATTATATATAAGCATAGAAAATAAGTAGAGGACTCCATTGTAGTTGGGATTATTACATTGGTGCTAATTTTAATCATTACATAATAGTGTAATTGTATATAAGTACTGCCCTTGTGGCTTGTATGGTTTTCATTTTTCTTTTCAAATCTTATATTGGTGTTTCAGTTTTTCTGCAGTTGAATCAAGTTTATGTAATAAACTTCCTAATTTTATATAAATTTATGTGTTTCTATAAACACTCGATGTAAATGTTTTATGTTTGACTTCAGTTGTATATGTATTTGTGGATCGTTGCGCTTACCGCTACACTAAAAGCAATCGCTGATAGTGTAGCACGCCCTTCTCCCTTTTATAGAACAGGCAAAGCGCCACGCGGTCCGATTGCACCGGCAGGCTGGCAGATT